ATTGTGTGAATATGTAATCATGTAATCATAAAAACTTAACTGTAGTCTGATTACGAGTATTTTTAAAATGTAATTTAATCTAATTACAAGTACTTAATTTTTGGAATCTGATTACGTAATCCAGATAACATGTAATCAGTTACTACCCAGCTCTGTTTATGAGGGACGTGCATACTTATGAAATGGAGCAGTCTGATCTCAGATAGGCTTATGTAAAGTCTTAATTTTTGATTAGTAATATGCATTGCCAAGAACTTCATTTGAACAACTTTAAAGATGATTTTCTCAATATTTAGATTTTTTTGCACCCTCAGATTCCAGATTTTCAAATATTGTCCTATCCTAACAAACCACACATCAATGGAAAGCTTATTTATTCAGCTTATTCTGCTGAGATGCATATATCTCAATTTAAAAAAATTGACCCTTATGACTGGTTTTGTGCTCCAGGGTCACATTTGTCTCCCCTGCTGAAAAAAACAATAGAACCATCACAAAAATTCTAATGGTTTCCACTACAAACACCATTACAAACCATCAACTTTTAACCATTAAAACAATTAAAAAATGTTTTTGGGGGGACATATTCCATTAGGACTGATTGGTTTTAACAAGCCACCAATAGAAGGTGACCAATTACCAGTAGAGACCCACATGTTAAAACCAGTACAATTCCCATTATAACCATTACATATTTTGTGATGTGTCTATTGTTTTTTTCAGCAGGGTCATCATTCCTCTCTTGTCTGGTCTCGTCTCAGTTTGTTTCCACACTGGAAAACAAATATCATTCATAAGACATCAATGCTAATGTTGTAATAGGTCTGTCCCAGAGCTCTGTGTGGCCTCCATCGCGTCCACATGGTTCGAGTCTGTGCGTGCTCTGGGGCTTGATGTGTAAAAAACAACCCTGTGCACTTAAACGAGTGTATAAAAGCAGAATCACGCGCAAGCCTTGTAAAAGTACAAACACAACATGTGTAGTCACGCATCCCCTTCCGCCGTGAGATCTGAAACTCTGCCGCGCTTTTTAACCCATAAAATTACACGCGCGCAGAGCGGCGGTGGATTCGCGCCAAAAACTCCAGAGGCGGGAGTGTCAGAAACGGCCTTACATTAATTAGCCGAGGCATAAAACATTTTCTTGGCAACCCGACATTAAACGGGCGATAAAGTCTCGTTAAGACGTGTTTGACAGCAGGATAAATAAGTGTGTTAAATTCTGTGAGAAAAATAATGTCACATCAAACCACTTAAGTTAATGAGAAAAGAACATAAAGGATTTTCTGATTATTAAACAGTCCAAATATTCACACTTATACACTAGAAGTATGTAGTCGGAGTACTGGAAAAATATATGTGACCCTGGAGCACAAAACCAGTCATAAGGGTCAATTTTGAGATTTATACATCATCTGAAAGCTGAATAAATAAGCTTTCCATTGATGTATGGTTTGTTAGGATAGGACAATATTTGGCTGAGATACAACTATTTGAAAATCTGGAATCTGAGGGTGCAAAAAAATCAAAATATTGATAAAATCATCTTTAAAGTTGTTCAAAAGACTTACATTTTAGTCTGGCTTAAGCCTTGTCTGTGAAACCAGGGGTGAAAGTCTTATTATATGGAAGTCTATTTGCGCCACATAAGAAAAAAAATAATGCTTTGGTAAATAATAATTATGACTTTAAAAGACATTAATATAAGATGAAAAGTCAAAATGATGAATTATGACATGCTAAGTCACAATTACGAGATAAAAACGCAAAAAAAGACTCATAATTTAGATTTTTCGTCCACTTGGTATGTCATAATTTCGATTTTTTTTTTTTTTTTTTTTTTAAGTCATAACCTCGACTTTTCATCTCATAATTATTATTTTTAAAGTTTGTCTTAGTATCTCATAATTTCGACTTTTAAAGTAACTTTGTATGCCATACTTAGTAATTCATCGTTTAGATTTTCAAAGTCAATATCTTGACTTTTCATCTCAAAGTAATGACTATTCATCTCAAAATTATGACTTACCAAAGAAATGGGCTTTCATAGTTGAGTGTACGTGAACAAAACTCATTACCGTTCAAAAGAGAACGCATCGACCTCCTCCATGCACAAGGGCTTGTGGGTAATATTAAAAAAGCATGCGTGGATGCATTTTGAAAATCTTGCAGACACATTAGTATACTATTTTGAGTGTGGCATAAATGCTTTGGGATGCACTAATTCTACACCTGGTCCATCTGGCAACGAGTAGAATCCCTAATTTATTTAATTACAAGCACCAGAGTGATTCATTTAATTGCATTATTTTATGTGGCTCCATACACAACAAATACTATAATGAGCACACACAGGTGAGCAGCGCTTTGATCACTTTCAGATTTTTTGGCCATTTTCTGTTGCAAGGCGAGCACAAGTCTGAGTCATGTTTTTCACTGTAGAATGAAATACAGCAGCGCCACCTTCAGGCGAATGTGAGAGGTGCCTGCTTCTCCAGAAAGAAGTCAGTATATGGATTACTGTATGATTTCTGTTTGTTCAGTGTATTGTAGCACTGCAAAAGCTTGCCTATACATTACAATTACACAAACGGTAACATGAAATAAAACTAAACAATATCCAAAGTGTTCAACATTTATGCATTTACGCAGACGCTTTTATCCAAAGCCAATATTGCACAGTTCTTGCTTTCCTGGGATTTGAACCCATGACCTTGGTGTTGCAAGCAGGAAGGTGTAACCCATACAGCCCATCACACAGGATATAAATATTGGCTTATGTAAATTTCTATATATATGAATTCATATTATATAAAAATAAACTGATGCATATAGTGGCATTAAGAGCTAACATGATCTAACAATGAGCAAAACATGTTTCATTTAACAAAATGAACAAATGCATGGAAAGATACAGAGTGTAATACATGTTGCATGTGCAAATGGTAATGTATACAGTCTTGTTGTTAAGAATTACTAATCAGAGAATCATGATTCCCATCATATGCTCCAAAGGTCAGTGTATAATTCACACCCTGCCTGTGGTGTGTAAGTGTGTAAGTGTGTAGGGTGTGTTGCACCAGAGTCCGGCCCATCAGATAACAGTTCCTCACTGTAAACATGAGTCTGTGAAATCTGTGAACTCAGAGGCTGGTTTGTGTTCTCTGCCAGGATTTTAGGGTTGTTTTGAAGAATAGTGAGAACTGTATTGTTTTGTGGGATGTATGGGTCGTGTTAAAAATAGAGCTTTCTTCTCATGAATTCACAGAACACAGTGATTTCATTAATTTTGGGGAAATGATCAAAACAAATCTGAGCTTTACAACACTGGGTGTCACATGAGCCTGACATCACAGGTCACAGTATAAATGTGTGAGTGTGTGTGTGTGTGTGTGAGTGTGTGTTGATGGCTAAGTGTTGCTCTGGTGTTGGTTACATCTTTGGGTTGGTGATAATGAAGGAATCACAGGCTGGATTAGACAAGCAAAGTCTGAATTTTTCTTACACAACAGTTTCTGTGTTCACAGTTATTCAACAAACAATCCATAAATCATTAACAAATTCATACATTCTATCTGCACATTAAACCTTACAATCACATATATGAAATTCCACATTACACTCACATTAAACACAGTAATACATTACATTAACATGCCTGCCACAAGTTCAGTATATGGTGTACTTTTGATTTTCAAGATTGCTTTAGCCTGATTCTATTGAATCATGGAACCTTGTATGTCCATTTGATAGTAATAATACGTAATAACACATAAATATGATATATGTAAATCACATTGTCAGTAACAGCAACTCACGTCAATATGAAATTGTCAAAACTGATAATGCAGGTTTTCCGAAAGAAATAAATGTTTGTTTCTGAATGTTTGTCACAATCCAATTTTAATGGATAAAATCAGATGTAATCATCAAATGCTTTGTGAACATCAAAATCAAAATAAACCACGTACTAAAAGAATATATTTAATTTGTTTACCTGCATGTCATGTGACCATTAACCAACACTACATTACTGGCTAGTCACTGATTACATGTAATCTGGTTTACTTAATCATATTCCAAAAATTAAGTACTTGTAATTAGATTCAATAACATTTTAAAATACTCGTAATCAGGCTACAGTTATTCACAATGAATCGAATCTCCCTAATTCCTCTTTTTCATCTTTTAATAATAAAAAAAGCCTATTGCTTAAATACACTCAGGTTTTGTGGACGTTCACACAAAGACCAGTCACACAGCATTTGACCACTGGATTTATAAAAATCTGATTTAAGATGTATTTCATCATTGCATCAACTGATGAGCACATTCATTTTTATTTGAATTATCACTTAGTATGTTATTTAACCCTGTATTTCCATGTCTTTGGAAGTCCTTTGTCTTTCAAACACATTAAAATTCACACATTTACAAACTTTTTTTGTCATCTGAATATATTTACCTGAGATTTTAAAATAAATATTCTAATAATTAAGTATCACATTTGCATACTACTGTTCTCTGACATTGGTTATGTTCACATTACTTTTGTTGGTAAGTGTTTTATTTTGATTGATTTTAATTAAACATTTTAAGACTTAATTAATTATTAGCTTTTCATTAAACTCACAAACCCCCTGCAGTTCCTTCATAAACCCCAGTTTGGGAAACCTTGGCTTAATGTAATGTTTAATGCATTTCATGTTATTAATAACAATGAATAAAATAATGAATAACATTTTATTATTTTAAAATTAAAATAATAACATCATTGTATTTTTTTTTTTATCATTATGGTACAAGATTATCCTATTTAAATCAATGTGATAAACGAGATAGGTCAAAAGTAATCTAAAAGTAGTCTGATTATATTACCTGAAATGTGTAATGTGATGGAGATGATCAGTGATTGTACTGTGACTCAATGCGCATGCGCGGCCTCTAACGGCAGCACGGCGGAATTACAGCAACGCGCGTCCGCACTGAGCCTCCGCGGCTTCCGTCCCAGATGAGCGTCAGTCAGTCAGTCAGTCAGTCGGTGACGGACCTCAGAACCGGAGCAGCACCGGATCATGCGCGCGCTCACCGCGTCCTGACAGCTGCACGCGGCTCGGTTCCGGTGTCGGCGAGCGAGATGGACGGAGGCGAGAGGAAGGTAACGCGATTTCACGACGCACCTGCGCGATTTACACCCGCTGGCGTCACGTTAGCTTTAGCATTAGCGGCGCTCGCGGGAGTAAAGTCCGAAACGACTAATAACGGTGATTTCTGTGATCAAACACTCGCGTGTGTGTGATATGAGCGATGTGTGTGTGTGTTAGTCGTGCTGACGCGATACTGAGAGCGACGCGTCGCGTCAAAACAACGACGCCCCTGTTATTATCAATTAAACAAAACTAGATCAGTTTTGCACGGATTAGTCGATTATTAATGAACGAGTGGGAATGAATCTAATCCAGTTATTAAAGTACCATGGTAATACTGTGGTAAAGTACCTCAGAGAACCGAGTAAATATTACCGCACATAAACAAGGGAATCATTCAGTAACGTTTCCATGGTAAATGTCAAAGTACCGTAGTACTGGCGTGTTATAGCACAGCTGTACCATGATTATTGATCAGACACAGCTGCTTTGTGAAGGTTATGGATCTGTGTATGATTGACAGTCATAGAAACAATAACAGACAGACAGTGTTTGCATCGGTTAAATATTCATAAGAACTGATTTGGTGTGGTTTGTTTATTTTCTGTTGATTACATTTATGCATTTAGCAGACGCTTTTATCCAAAGCGACTTACAGTGCATTCAGGCTATACATTTTATTTTACCAGTATGATTAGAGCTGCATCTGTCAGCTGTTATTGATGTTTGAGTGATATTACAGTGACTGTGATGTTACAGTGAGTTCAAGTTCTCACTGGTCATTTGTTGTGGTGTGAAGTGTGTGTGTGTGTGTGTGTTCTGGTTTCTGCGGCACCTATCACATCTGATCCATCAGGTTTTTCTGCATTAATCACATTCCTTGCGCGTCTGTGATGTTTCTGTTTGTCGTAAGATCAGTTTCTCTGTTTTTCTTCACACTCGTGTTCCTGTTTGATTCAGTTCTGTCAGATCTGCTCACATCAGTCTCGTGTGTGTGTGTGTGTGTGTGTTTTAAATTTTCGGAGTGATTATCTCTATATATTGGTTTTGGAAAACCACTAGTTTGTTTTATTATTTTACTTGTTTAACCAGAGTGGAGTCTTTGTGTCATGAAGCACAACACATTCATTTGACATAGAACTTAAGTGCAAATGTAATGAAGTTCAGCTTTTAGGGTCAGTTTATTATGGGAAGGGTTAGAGTCTCAGTCCTAAAAACACCAAAATGCATAGAGGTTAAGCAACTTGAGATGGACTGACCCAAAATGATTGTTTCTGTATGATTGCAAACTCAGTCCCTCTGCCTGCCATCTCTCTCTCTGTGTCTCTCTCTCTCTCTCTCTCTGTTTGATTGAGGGTATACGTAGCTCTCTGTAGTTTGATGGGGTGTAGGTTTTAGAGTCTAAAACTCTATAAAACGACTATAAAATATCTCTCTCTCACTCTCTCTCTCTGTATCTCTCTCACTCTCTGTCTCTCTCTCATATTTTAAACCTGTTGGTGCACATAAAACCATACATTTCAGAAGTCTGTGCTGGAATCATGACCCCAAAATGAGAGGTTCACACTGTTACACCACTAGTATCATCTTTAAACACAGAGAGATGTGACGTTTGCTGATGCTGTGAGGAGGAAGTGTTCGTATACACACGCGTGTTCAGCTTGTTAATCATTAGCTCTTCCTGCTTCGTGACATAATTATGGGAATGATGGAGATCTCGTATGTTTGTTGTGTTTCACCTGAGATGTTCAGGAATGCGTGGAATGTGATGACATCACCTGACCAGCAGTCACATGCTCACGTTGGTCGTGTTTAGATTCCCGGAATTATTTGTTTGTGCTGTAACCCTACAGGACAAACATCATTTATTCACCTGTGCGATGTGTTACGCTGGCATCTGCCGTCTCGCTCTGGACGGTTCAGAATAGTGTACTAGCACACTCTGTTTGCTGTTAGTGAAGTGTAATGATATTGTATGAGTAGTGTGGTAGTATGCGATGCTGAATTATGATGCAAACATATAATATAAAAAACATATAATGCAACAAATATGATGCAGGGGAATTTCTGTAGGAGGAAATGCACGTGTTTCCCGCATTTCATATTGTTTAATTTTAATATGCATTGTTTTGTTATCATTGAAAATAATTATTTACAATTTTGAGTTTCTTACTCTGATCTTGGAGTAAAACCATGGTACTTATTTACACGGTAGTCATATTTATTACATTTATGGACAACATAAAATGCTTTAGATCTCTTCTTATTGATATAGCTGGTTTTGGGTTGAAAAGACACTGACTAGACAATTATAAAATATGTCGTTTTCAGAAATCTTGCAATTTGATGATTTCTGGAGTGTCACTTTTGAGTTTTTGTTAATGCATAACATTAGATTTTACATGAACGTCTGTTACCAGTCATGAATAGTATGCTCTTTGCATTAAACTGCATAAAATATGGTGTTTTCATAGAATTGTTTATGCAATTTTCACATTTATTTTTGTTTTATGAGCGTTAAAAAACTATGCACAGACAGTCATGTTATTTCATTATTCTTTCAGTAAACAATTTAGTGCGCTGCTTGATTTCGTCTATGTTTGCTTAAAGTGCCCTCTTGTGGGCAGCAGCTTTTTTCCTTACTGAAATAGTCTATATGAATATTAGTAATATTTAAGTAAAAAATGCAAGTGTTAGGTTTTTCAGTCTATTTGACGGCCCTATAATGCAGCTTAAATATGTGTGTGTTTCAGGATGTGAAGCTCTCTGCTGAAGTAGAACCGTTTATCCCTCAGAAGAAAGGTGTTGAAGCGTCATTATTACCCATGAGTCTGTGCGGTGAGGGTGGAGCTGAGCCCACACAAATCCCCTCCTACCTGATCACCTGCTACCCCTTCGTACAGGAGAATCAGAACAACAGGTACAAACACACACACACACACACACACACT